AACCACGCTCTTTGATCGTACCCAGTTGTGTCTTCCTCGATTTGTGTGGGTCTCTATGGACGTAGTCCTTTGCCACATGTCTAAAGGTGAAGTAAAACCTTCGAAGCACCTGCTTAATAGAGAATGATCGCTTTTATGTTTGGTTTTCAAACATAAAGAGAGAAATTAAATTTTTCAAGATATATTTAGTATCTAGTTAGGATGCTTGTTTTTTTGTGATGTGATTATTTTAGCTTTTGAATATTACACCGCAATACGAATGTAAACCCCTGAATTTCTCTACATTATCTGCACGATGTGTCGCTGTTTGCTTGTTCCTTGAGTTTGCTGGTTGGGCTTCTCTGTTGGTGTACTATATACGAAAAGAGAGCAACTAAGCAAAATTTAATCTCCATGCCTAATAAAAATTATTATTACTTTCTTAGTACACTCTCAAGGATTCGTGAGCGGTCCCACACGGATAGGAAACTTTTCTTGGCTAGGCTTCCCAGGAGGTTGAAAATGTGAGGAGTCTGATGTGGTACACAAGGGTTCCCTCACGTGGACAGTTCATTAAGTTTTAATTAGCAGCCCGCACCAGACAGAAAAGTTGTACTACAACAAAATACAAAGTTATTTTTCTTAGGAAAGGTTGAAGGGGGGGGATGGGGTTATATTCCAAAGTACGAGAACTGCGACTCAAGTGAAAGTAAACAAACAAACTGGGTTCTACTGAAGGAACATTCACTTTGAGCACTCAATCTCAATAGTTACATATTATTTGATATCAAAGAAATGTACTGTGCTTACTTGGTTATTTATATTACAAAATTGTATTTTTTCCTTTAGTTTCGGTTGACCGAGTTGCTCTCACAAATACTATGAATTCTTTTTGACACGTGAAATAGCCCAAAAAATGTTTGGCTGTTCCAAATGACTGAAGCTTTTCTCACAACAATATTTGTGTCGCCGAAGTTTAGCTTTAGACTGGCAAATATCAATGTCGATTTAAAACATTGTTTTCTCTGTTTCAGATTATTTTACTAGCCTTTTGAATGCTATATTGTTTAATCTAATACCGTATTTGCACGAATATAACGCGACCACGAATATAACGCGAGGGCAGGTTTTGATGCTTCCCAAAAGAAAAAAAAAATAATATTACTATCATAACGCGAACCGAAGCAGCATCAATTTCTCGCACTCGGGGGCATAGCAGAAGTGAAAAGTCAATGGAAATAAAAGAAATATCAGTTTATGTTTTGACTGCACTCATCCTCACTGCTCAGGTCCTTCCGTTTACAATTTGCTTGGCCACTACGCAGCTTGTCTGGTAGTTACTTTTTCTTCCGTGCGAGCTCCTCGGCAGCCCACAATGCAAAAAGGCACAAAGCAGAAGCACCAACACACAAACACTAGAGGACTAGACCACTCTGGAGCAGAAACTAAACAATGCTCAGGCAGGAAAAAGACTGCTGAACCGATACCATCACACTTCTTGTTCTGGTGCCTCTGCATAAACAAATGCCTCGTGTTGCACGATTGCGTAAACGCGGTCGGTGGTCTTGGCTTGGCTTGTGTTGACTTGACTTGGCCCGGCTTGGCTTGGCTTGAATTGGCCAGCGCCCGCACTCCCGCATGGCGGGCGTGCGCTGAGTTTCTGCGGCGTGCGTGCGTTGTACAAACACAAAAGCGATAAAAATGCTTTTTTTGTTTTCTATTCGCACCTTCACGTAGCCCAATAGCTAATACATTCCCTTCCACAACCCCCCTTCTTTTCCCACTGGATCTTTTGCATTGAGCCGGAAGAATGGCTTTCTCCTTTGGCTTTCTCTAGACTCGCGTGCCTCGACTCCGAATATAACGCGAGGTGTGTTTTGGAGCACGTAATTTCGAAAAAAAAACTTGCGTTATATTCGTGAAAATACGGTCATCTGCACCCTAAAAGAAGCCAGTGTGACTACTTTCCTGTACAGCACTCGGAGAGCCAATCACCACAACTTACAGGGGCAACTCGGCGAATGACAATGGCGAAACACAGGTTTAGACCAAAATACGCTGTCACAGTTGTGACATCAAGCATTGCAAAACGTCACGCTTGCATTGGTCAATGTCACAACTCGGACAGCGTATTTGAGTCTAAACATATGTTTCGGCACCGTCATTTGCTGAGCTGCCTCCGTAAGTTGCGGTGATTGGCTCTCCGAGTGTTGTGCGAGAAAGAAGATGAACGGGCTTTTCTTAGAGTGTGTGGTTGTAAGGAAGACTCTTCCAGTGTAAATTAATATACAGTCGCAAACATTAAGAATGTCAACACGCTATCACCAAGAGCTCCGTACTGCCAGCGTTATGCAGATGCAGTAGGGAGTTTTAGTAGGCCGTTTCTGCAGCCCGCTAAGCACCCGCATAGCGCTCCGTAATCTGCCGCATGACCTTGAACTGTGTAAACAATGTTGCCGGCGCGCATGCGCAGTGGCGGTGTTTTCTTTACGGATACCGTAGCGGAGGAGAAAAACAATGTTTTACAACTCTCTAGAGTTCTAGGTGTTACCGTAAAAAAGTAATGGAACACGTTACTTGTTACTTGCAAAATAGAGGAACGCGTTATTGTTACCGTTATTGACAGAAAGTAATGCACATTGCTTTTGCATTACTTTTTATTTATAAATTGACAATAACAGCGTTTTTTGTGTTTTCTTTTTTTTTTTTGTGAGAGCATTTTTTGACAGTTGGATAATGGGAGCGGGTGTTGAGGTTTTTCTAAAGTGGAACTTTTTGCTTGGGGAACGGACAGCAAAATTTTGAAAATATGTAGAATGAGTACAATAATTAATGATTTGGATCATATTCTACGTTCCAGCTTAACTCCAGACGCAGCTAATGGGACCAGTAAAGCAGTGGCAAAATCGCAAGTCGCTGGGTCTTGTTTGTTTATGATTGGTTCAGCGATGATAGAACACGTCCAGAGACACGGCGAGCGCCATGATGGCGCCCTTTTCACTCTTTCTCATTGGCCCCGTCATCTTGTAGCGTCAGCTGCGTATGGACTTAAAGGGGCCCTGCATTCCTCATTAAGCCTTTTTTTGCGGTTTTCACGTCTCTTGTGGTTCGGGCAACCCAGCGGGCGCGGAGAGAGTAACTAAAGATGAGTGCGTTCTATTTTAACTGGACGTCATGGAAGTCTTCTCCACCTACAGGGGTGCCCCATGGTGCTGAGCACGCTCAACATGTGACGACATCGTGACGTTTCAGGTCCTGGCCAGCTTCTGCCTTACGACTAATGAAAGCCGCTAAAAGCTTTATTATTATTTTTTTTGTCGAAATACAAAATATAAGTGGCACAAACTGTTTCGATTATTTATGAAAGTAGTTTTTGTTCAGTATCTTAGATCAGAAGAGAAACAAAGGCAGTTTATAAAGTATGGAAACAAGAAATGACCCGTCGACACAACCGCCACCATACGGTGGAAAAGGCGGCGCATACTGGGAAGGTGCAGTGGAATCGGGTGCCGACGCGTGCGGCGCACTGCTGTGAAGCGGCAAGCGTAGAAAGGTCCTGCATGTACGTGGTGGCGCTACAGAACTGTCCTTTACCTTGTGTTTGCGGTCGCTTGTGGCCAATGAAGTGTCATGCCGCCGCCTGCTTCGTCCAGCCGATCCAGCACATTCTTTAGTGGCGCCCTATTGAGCCGTAGGCACGGAGTGCGGCGGCCGTGAGAGCTCGTTCAGCTCACTACCCCTCCTCTAGTTCACGGCCACCCAAGCCAGGACCAGGGACGTCATGAAGGAAGTTACTATGTTCAGTGTGCTCATGTTTGGTGCAAATTAAAAACCAGTCAAGAGGTCGTTGCAGGCCCCCTTTAAAGGGATACTTCAACAAAATTTGATATATATCCGTCGTGTTCAAAAATACGTTGAATATAATCCACAATATCCGTAAATGACAATCGCACATTTGTATTTTGAGCCTGTTGGCTCTATTTTTTGTTATAAATGGCCCATTCTGGCAAGCGCTCGGAGAAGGCCCAGCTTAGAGCACGTGACATCCGACGCAATCGTGACGTAGGTCGTCTCGGGATGAGCAAAGCTACCGCGAGGCTGACGTCGAGAGGATGGCCTAGTCGTCCCAGCCACCGAAGCAGCTGCTTTTGTAAGAATTTTGAGTGATGGGTTAATCTTTTATAATCTTGTAGAGGGACAATAGCGACTTCTGGGACACACAAAAGGAATTCTCGGGAAGAGGGGAGTTCCTCCTTCCCCTCTTCTCTCGTCGTGGCCGGAGGCGAGACAATAACCGTCACTACCTCTCAAGGATCCTAGATCGGCATTACAAACGATGCGTTAGCGACAGCCACCAGGTGCTCTTTGCTAATCGTTTAATTTGTTTTAAAATTCCTTTTCGTGATTTTTTTAACAAGATATCGGTGTGTTTGATTTGATACTGCTCCTTTGAACACATATAGACCATAAAATAAGCGCTGAAATTTCGTTGTAGTACCCCTCCAAGGTAAAACCAAATATAGAAAGGCGCAAAAAATATAAGTACTTTTTTCAGGTTTTCGGAAGAATATGTATCGGGTAACGTCACTACGTTATCCGTTACTTGAAATAAGTAACGTAAATATGTTACCTGTTAGTGTTTTGGAAAAGTAACGATTACATTACAAGGTTACTGAAAAAAGAAAGGTGTTAACGGTAACGACGTTACTTTTAACACGTTACCGCCAAGTATGGAAGGGAACTGAAGCCGCGGCCCCCCTAGCTTGAGTTCCCTTCCGTACTTGGTTAGCAGAACGCAGAAGCCACCACAGCTTTTGCACTATGGAGCTGCCAGATTAGTCTTTAATGATCGCCTGTAGACCTTTACAAGCATTACGAATGAACCTTTTTAACATCTGAAATGAAAAAATACCTTATTTAGACAGCACTGGCATGACGTAGGCATTCATAACTATGTTCATCTAGGTACTCATAATTCATGTTCAAAGCGATAAAAACAGCTCTGACCTTTCTTGCTTTGTCGTGTCATCCCAACAGACTGGATCGAAGCATACTATGGCGACAAAGTGGATACCTTTGACTGTGACAGCTGCAGGGGCGACACCTTTCCCCCCACCAACTGGTCGGGCCCACAGAAGCCGCAAATGCACCGACAACTGGACAAGCACCCGTGCCGCTTCTGTCCTCACTCAAGCAATTCCGCAACGGCTGTCGCCATCCACGAGAGGACACACACTAACGAGAGGCCCTTCAGTTGCGGTGTTTGCGAGAAAACGTTTGCGCGTAAGGATTGCTTGACAGCTCACGTTAGAATTCACACCGGAGAGAAGCCGTTCAAGTGCAACACGTGCAGCAAGGTGTTTACTCTGAAACGCACCTTGGCAGATCACGAAAGAATTCATACAGGAGAGAAGCCGTTCAAGTGCAACACGTGCAGCAAGGCGGTTACTCTGAAATGCACCTTGGCGGATCACGAAAAAATTCATACAGGAGAGAAGCCATTCAAGTGCAACACGTGCAGCAGGGCGTTTACTGAGAAAGGCACCTTGGCAGATCATGAGAGGACTCACACGGGAGAGAAACCGTACAGGTGCGAGACCTGCGGTAAAGCGTTTACGGCTAAGAGCGGTTTGCACAGTCATCGGAAGATACATCACAAGTGACCAAAACCCTCACGTGCATCATAGTTGTGGAGGGGGTTTAAACGAAATACTCGAGAACCGACTTGTGTTCATTTCGTTTGGCGATAGACCTGCAGGGGTTCTACTTGCAAGCAGTGCAGGTTTTGCATGGTTAAACATTTTTAAGCCTGTCGTTTATTGTGTAAACACAAATAAAGATATGATTTACCTTAAAAGTGACCAGGGTTCTTTATTGTATACGAAAAATAAAAATACCGGAAGCATAGTATTTTTTATTCATTTAGTCATTAATCAAGGTGCTGCAACTGCAGTCTCTGGGTTGTCTGTAGGATCATTTATGTCCTACAGACAACCCACCTACAGTCGGCCTACTCATACACAAAAGGTATGAAATAATCAAATAACTAAGGTTTTTCAATAGCAATAATCTTGGACCATGTAAAAGTTAAGAAAGTAAGAAAAACCGAGTAATGTGGAGAGGCCAACACATTCTTAAGATATAAACAAAATGATATTGAAAACTGATTAACACACCGATCTGGAAACTAACGCTTTGCGCATAGTACTGGAATAGAGTATACAAGGCTCGAAGAATTTTTAACGCAATGTTATTTCCTATTTTATTTCTTAATAAATATTCTTCGTCCTTTTTTTTTCTTTTCGACCGGTTTGAATTGCTGAATTGCGATAACATTATTATAGGCACGTAGCCAAGATTTTGTTTCGGGGGTGAAGGGGTGGGGTGGGAAGGGCTTGCTCATGACAATGCTCTATGAGGGGGAGGGAGCAGAGGAGGTCCCAGCAAAATGGAAGATTCGGGGGGGAGGCCGGGCCCCATGGCCCCCCACCCCCTGGCTGCGTGCCTGCATCATTCAATGTGCTTGCTACATGATATACTTGTATGTATGCTTTTCTTTTGCATAATTTTACTCTTTTTTTTCACATTCACTAAGACAGTCCTTGATCATTTAGGATATTCATACTTTTAGTGCTATTCATTTGGTATTCATCAAGTTTCACTTGTATTCGTCAGGCCTTTCTTTGCTCGAAGTTCCTCTTCTAGTTGATGGATCAAATATATTTGTTTTACTAAAGGCATAATTCACTTCATTGTGTATATCCATGGATGTAAAAACTGTATAGGCATAATCCATTTAAATATGTCTTAATCTACGCTGACTTTACATTGGTTTTCACTATTGTGTGGTGCGGCAGAGTTGCTGCGGGTGGAGTTATATTTCCAAGTGTATAAAATATTTGTTTTCACATATGCACGGTGTCTGCGCAAAAACGGGCAAAATCGCTACTGCAAAAAACTAAACATCACACAGAAAAAAGCTTGATGCCATAGTGGTCTGTGTCAAAGGAAAATTGTTGGTGTTCAATATAAATGGATAATTAATAAGTACCTAAATTTTTTTATACCGTATTTATTAGAATATAAGTCTACCTTTTTTTTTCGGAAATGTCAAAAGTTAAGAGTCGACCTATAATCGTGACCAAAGAATTTCGACCTGCATATGAGAACAAATTTTGCGACTCTACCGAGGGCTTGGACCTATCGAGTCACTGAGCTGGCACTGCCATAGAGCCGCGCCGCTTCTTGTTTCAAAAAGCTTTTGATGCACGAACACAACCGAAACAGCAGCAACCAACAGCCCCCCCCCCCCCCCCCCCCCCCCACTGTGGCCGCCGCTCGCGCATATCCCTTGGGCGTCGGATTTCGCCATCGCGCCTGTAGCGTTCCCCTCGCTAAGCAAGGGGGAAGGGGAGGGAGAGGAACACGATGGGCAATGCACCTTGCCTCCATTCCTCTCCTTCGCAAATGCGCACAAAGAAAGAAAAGAAAAATGGAGGTTACTTTAGCTTGTTGCTTGTGGCGCTCGTGTGTTGCTCGCGGCGCCTCGCGGCGTTGATAGCTTCTTTGAATTTGGTCTTTCGTCGCTTCGCCCGTCTCTACCCTTCATGTCGTCATTTTACAACAGTGTCGGTGAGGTATTGCTGCGAATTTGCGAGGATGTCTACCAAGCTGACGAAGCTTCGGACGACGATGACGTGTCCAAAAGTTCTGACGATGATTAAGTTTTTGGCATCGCCCTGCGATTTAGCTGAGAGGGCTGTAAATAAAGGTTTGTTTCTTTCTTTTGTCCTAATTTCTCCTGTTTCTAAAAAAAAAAAAAAAGTTCACCTATATTTGAATTATTATAATCTTTTATTCTCGGTAGGTTCAATAAATTGGGGTCGACCCATTTTCGTGTTTCGTGGTTGACCTATTTTCGGGTAAAACGGTAATAGTTTTAAAGGCGTGGTTTCAATTATAATTTTCCTCGGCATCGAAAACTACTAATCACACACACATTACAATGGTATAAGGCCCGCGCAGCATTTTACGGCATTCCGAGAAAATGCTCATTGGACACGTTTCTGGGTTTCGGTTATCGGAGCGCATCTCCGCGCGGGCAATCTCGCCCCCCCTCGCAACGTGCGTCCGCCGTTACGCATTGCACGTGAGGTGCGTCTTAACTCTGGCACCTATGTCAAAAAGGCAGACCTCACTTGACAGTCCGGAGGCTTTCTTATGTAGACTTCTCTATGTGCGATGCATGGCGCCACACACGTGCGTCCTATGGTGAATTCCACTCGTAGATCCGGATTGCTTTCCAAAATTCTGCAAAGGAGGCAAAATTCTGCTCCGTGGGACCCGCTCCTAAACGACGAGGGGAAGAGGAGCTCGTATTTTTGGAGCGACCTCCCCCCCCCCCCCCCCCCCCCCCCCCTCCCCCGCCTGAACTTGACAAGCCCACCATCGCCTCAGCCGACTGATCTTTCCGACGACCAGTGACAGCTGTCAGTGCTTAGCTGCAGAAATAAGACACACGACACAGGCCGGGCAAAATATACGTACCACCCAAGGAGCCCATGTCAAAAACAACGAGAAAGACGTCCGCGTTCGCCACCGTCGCATTCCTTTCGGCCGCCTCGAAGCGGTGGGGCACGCACACCGATTGCCATCAGTAAAGTTAAAATTTCTGGTACGACTTTATTAAACACAGAGGTAACAATCCATCACTTGCACGGTTGTCGCCTAGTCAGTTTTTGGTTTATTGCACGAAAAAACGCCGGGGGCATGCAGTGTAAAAAAGTAAACAATCGGTGGCGGCAAAATGAACGGGCCTAACCTTGCATCCACCTTCAGATTTTCGGCCTTTCTTTTTCTTATTGTTCCTCTCACGATCACAGATGACAGCGCTTGTGATTTGCACCGCTTTAGTCCCGGCTTTGGATTTGTTATCTACGCAAGGTAGATACGCTCGGGCCGTCACAATCCCGCATAAAATGACCGACGCATCCGAGTAGATCCAGCTCGACCGACTCAATGCTGTTGGCGGTGCGGCCGGTCGGCTCACCCCCCCCCCCCCCCCCCCCCCCCCCCGACCTCTTCACGCATGTGCCACGGCCAAGTTAAAGGAGATGATGTGGTGCGCTCTGCCAACTTCCGCAAAGATCTCCGAAATCCCACGGAGCAAGTTCGGCGGGGTTGGAGACGCTGCATGGAGCGGGCGCTGCCAGAGATGTTCGAGTGAAAGATGACCAACTCGAGCCAGATCTGCGAGCAGAATATGCGAGCTCCAAAGGGAGCGGTTTTGGAGCGCTCGAGATCTGCGAGCGGAATTCACCATTAGACATGGGGGCGGGATTGTTTGCGAGGAGGTGCGCTCCGATAAAAAACCGACACCATTTCTTCGGAACGCCGTAAAATGCTGCGCGTGCCTTTTACCATTGTAACGTATGTAGTAGTTTTCGATGATGCTCACTAAGATTCTATTAGTAACCATGCCTTTAAAATCAGTCATTAACAATTTAATTACTTGGAATTACCCAATTATGCTGGCAGTAGTTTTCCGTGATGGCACGTGCAAAGGGCTTAAGCTGCCGAGGTGATGGTAGCTACGAGCCCATTGGAACACTCGTACCTCGATTTTTCGCCGCATGCCCGCGCACCCACCCACATCCACGTAGAAATCGTGGTCAGGCGATGAAGGGGAAGTGGTTGTTAGCTTCAAGGTGCGTGCCACGATATAGGGTATTGGGCTTTCTGGTACCAGTGGGACCTAAGCAGTGGTGCAGCCATTACAGAAAATAGTAACAAAATAGTGTCACTCTTCAGATCGTCAAAAATGAACGGGTTAGTGCGATTCGTTACCGTCCCACGAACATCAAGATATACCGTTACAGTTACTTTCAAAACCTAAGGAACTTTATTTTTGCGTTAATTTGAATTGCATTATTATTTGGCAGCGAAAGGGCGATGAGATGAACTTAGACAACAGTTCAGCTACTACAGAGCAGTGTTGCGGAATGGGCACCCCCATTCCATTCCAATTCCCTTCCGGGGAATTAGAGTCTTCGATAATTCAATTCCTTTCAACTCCTAGGAATGGGGACACTGGGCCCATTCCCACTCCTGGAATGGCTGAATCGTTCCATTCTATTCCTCTAATTCCTGAACGTAAAAATTGGCACTTGACAGCTGCATTGTTTTGCAGGGTTGGGCAGAAATAGTCAAAAATGTATTTGAAAATACAAATGTTGGGATAGATGAAAATAGTAGCTAAAATACTGATACTCAAATATATCTGTAAAAATGTATCGCAATACTTATCGGAAATACATTTTCAAAAAAGTCAAAAAGTCTTTGGAAAATCAAATACAGGAATACATTTTAAGGAGGGCAGAAATATAAATACTGATAATGCAATACATTTTTCAAAATTTTTTGAGACGCCAACTGAGATAAAACTTAAGTTTAAAGTGGAATTTTTTTTTTTTTTTATCTCGAAATTACTTTCTCGCCTTAAAGGTAGTGGTTCCGGTCAAAGAGAAGTCTTCAATGGGTTAAAAAAAAAAAAAAAAGAAACGTTTCATTAAGGATTGACTGCGGTTCCTCCTCTGGCATCCTGTCTGTCTAACCAGTGATGCGAAGTAAGGGCGCCCCTGTCAACACTGATCACATTGCGTCACGGCGGAATGAACTAGTATTGTATCTGTAGGTGTTACCTTGAACACGAAACTTTA